ATATATAATAAATAAAAATTATATTCATTATTTATTATTGATATCATTATTTTATTTATTATTATTATACATAAAAAAAATAATAAAAAGTTCCAAATACAACTAAAAATAATAAATTAAAATTTTCAACAAAAAATAAAAATAAAATCTGAAAAACATCGAGAAAAAGTATAAAATTTAAAACTATGAAAGAAAAAGAAATGGAAAAAAGGCATAAATCATATCAACACTCGTTGCTGCGTACTTGAAAAAATGCAAATACATAAATATTTTGTGCAATTTCCATGCACTTTCCCTGACATAAAAGGGGAAGTTTAATTTTGATTGTTCCCATTTTAATTATTATGTTTACTTTTTCTTTTACCAAACATTTTATCATAATTCATTTTCACACATTTTCTTTTGTCTCCCTTAGTTCCCTTTTTCTTCTCATTTATCATATTGTTAGATATATATAGGTCTGGCAAGTGGGGGCGGGTACGGAGATGAGACGGGTATTAATATTCTCGTTTCCAATCGAAGAAAATCTGAACTCGAATTCGAACTGAGTCAATATAGATTTTTTCTACCCAAATCGAGGTGGTTGGAATGTAGGGGTGTTTAAAAAAATCAAAAGAACCGAACTGAATTTCAAAACCAGATTGAACCACTTTAAAAAAATCAGAACTAATTATAATAAAACCGAACCAGATTTAATTTTTAAAATAAAATTTAAAAACAGAACCTGTTCTTTTTAAAAGGTTTGGTTTAGTGGTTCACTGAAAAATATATTTGGATTATGCCTCGCTCAGAGACGGAACAGGCGTAATTGCTATCTTGCTGAGCACTCTCACACTCACTCTGTCTCTCGCACTCTCTCTGTCTTTCAGACTCTCGATCTCTCACGCACGACAAAGTATCTTTCTCTGTGGCTCGCAATTCAACATTCAGTGGTTCAAGGCAAATGGTAGAAAATATCATAACTAATATTACTAATAGAACATTGCGACAAGCTCATATTTGTAAACTGTTGCAGGAGAATGTGCCATGGCAATCTGAGACAGTTTCTTCCATAGCTGAGGCCTTGGTTGATTCCAAATCTGCAAAGCAAAGTGTTATTACTTGGTTGTTGTTGCAAGGAACTAACTCTATTGGGAAAACAAGGTTGGCACGCACTATTGCTGAATCGGTGTTTGGCAACATATTAACAATTTATTTAAAATTGGTTTATTTCTTAAAACTGGTTCAAAAATTAGTTTAGTTATAAAACTAGTTTTAAACCTATTATAAACTTGTTTATTAAAGTAATTAAATTTTAAAATGATTTATTAAAGTGGTTTACATAATTTATAAACTAGTTCATTTTATTAAAATGGTAGGTGCAGTTCGGTGTGGTTTTTTTAAAAAACCAAACCATGCACACCCCTATTAGAACGGGTATTTACGAGACTAAATTAGAATGCCATACCTAGTTAGATAGACTCACCTACCCATTATTTTCACCCTTTTTGACTTATGAATTGAATGAGTTTTTGTTTACTAATTTAATATATCTCTTTCTTCATTAATAATAAAAAATACATTGAATAGCCTACAAATTTTAATGACTCACCTACCCTTATTTTCAGTCGGCCGGAAATCAGCTTAGATACCGACGACCAATGGTTGAGGTTGGCAACATTAAAGTATGTATATTTCTTTTCCTCCTAGTTTTCTTATCTATTAATAATTAATAATACAAAGAGAAGAAATTATGTAACAATTTTCTTCCCTTCAAAACTCTCACCTCCTTTTCCTTTGAAATTTCTTCCAACAAAACTATATCAAAAATATTATATTATATAACTTCTAATTCAAATTACAGAAGTTAGAGAAGATTAGTGTTTATTTGTCATTAAAAAATGCTTGTAGGTTAGTATATTGTGCTATAGCATTTTTAGGTCATGCCACTTTTCTTTTATGCTATTTTTTTAATTTTTATACATTTTCTTTTATATTCTATGTAGTTGGTGACTTATAATTTTTCTTTTTTTTTGCAGAACCAATGGGCTGTGGAATATTCTAAGAGCGAGAACTACATGATATTGGACAAACATTGATTATATGTTACAATCGAGTTAATATCAAATAACTAAATATAATATGTTAGGTCTATATACATTTTCTTTTTATTTTTTATTTTTTATTTGAGTCTAAGTCTAGGAGTTGCATGGTAATGGATAAGCATTGATTGTGTTTAGATATATGTAACTATTATTGCAACAAACTAAATGTAATACATGTTAGGTTTATATAAACTAATCTTTTAATTTTAATGTATACATTATACATTATATTTTTGAATCAAATTTGGCTACATTCTTGATTGATTGGTATAGTTCTATGCCTTGGGATTTATTTTTGCATGCATAGCAAAATCAACAAGTGTCAGTGATGTAAAAAAATTATTAAAAAAAAATTAAACATATAGATAGCGTTATATAAGGAAGCGCTTTCTATTGCTAGAATATCAAAAGCGCTTTTGCTACAGGCACTTTCTATAAGATAAATCAAAGACAACGCTTTAACATAAAGTGTTGTCTATACATTCAAAAATTGAGAACACTTCTTTGAAAAAGCGTCATGTAGGTACCTAGACATAGATAGCGCACTTAAAAGGAAGTGATTTCTATTTACATATACATAGATAGCACTTTTTAGAAACGCTATCTATTAATAGACATTGTTCAAATATAGTGTTTTTTAATATAATATACATTTAAACTAATTTTCATTAAAGAATCTTCTGCAGCCATTAATACGTAATTGAAAAGCAATTATTTTTGAATACGTAATTTCTATAAAGTACTAGGGTGTTTATTATTTTAGGCTGGCAACATATTATTTGTGAATGATTCCATAAATTACGTATTAATAGTAGCCACTATTATTTAATAGAAAAGCTAAAAGAAAATTCCAGCACAATTCCATTTTTATGTTTGGATAAATAATTTTAGAAATTAAAAATTTTATAATTTAAATTATATTAATTTTATTTTTCATTATTTTTAAAATATTTTATTTGAATAAGTCAAGTAAAAATTTTAAAATATTAAATTTTAAGTTTGGATAGAATAATTTAATTTTCATTATGAATAAAACTAAATCCTTAAAATTAAATTTTATAAAACTAAGTATTAGTAAATTTTTATAAACATTAATTTTATAAAGCTAATAATTTTAAAAATTACTATTAGATAATAATTATTATTTTAAAAAATAATAAATATTTTTATGTCGATTTTGAATGAGTGAAGATGAATATAGGAGAATAAAAGAGAAAGAAGAATTTCAAATTTTTACGTTTTTTTTGGAGAATTTTAAATTATGCATATGTACCATGTGTTTGGATGAAAAATTTTAAAAATTCAAAGAACATGAAATTCTTAGAATTTGAATTATTTTGATTTTAATTTTCATTTTTTAAATGTCTTATTTGAACTAGTCAATTCAAATGTTTTAAAGTTTAAATTCTTAGCTTGGATAAGCCAATTTAATTTTCACAATGAGTAAAATTGAATTTAAACAATGTGTGTATTGAAATTTTAAGATTTAATTTTATAAAATTAAATATTAGACAACTTATAAATATTTACTATTATTTTTAAAAATAATATTACATAATTTAAAAAATAATTTTGAATATTCAATAATTTAAAATTTTTTTCTATTTTTTATGTCAATTTTTAAAGAGAGAATAGGGATGTAGGGGAGAAAGAAGAATTTAAAAAATTTTACTTTTTTGGAAGAAATTAAAACTCTTTAATTTAAAGAAATTTCTCAAATGTTTGAATTTCAAATTCTTTGTATATTTTTCCTCCAAACAAAACATTTTACATCAAAGCATTTGAAATTCGTCAAAAAATTGAATTACACCATTAAAATCCTCCATCCAAACACACTTTTAGGAATTTTACAAAAGTTTAAATTTTAATTTATTTTTTTTGTAAATTCTTCATCAAAATAAAACATTTTACACCAAAGCATTTGGGTTTCTTTAAAAAAGTTTGAATACTACAAGAAAAATAAAAATTATCAACGGATAATTTTTTACGGATACAAATTTGTCAAAAAATTTATATTTCCGATGGATAAATTCCAATGGATACAAATCTGTCAAAAAATATTTATTTTTGACAGATATCCTGTAATTTCTGACAGATATAAATCTATCAAAAAATTTATATTTTCGACGGATATAAATCTGTCAGAAAATTTATATTTTTGATAGAAAAAAATCATAGGAAAAGTTATATTATCAACGGAATATTTTTTACAAATTTATATTTGTCGAAAATGTAAGAATTTATGACAAAATTTTTTAGTAGATGCTTAAGTAAAAAATTTTCGATGGGATGTTACTAATGGATAATGGTTTGTCAAAAATTTAACCTGTCAAAAAATGTTTAATATTCTATCGGATATTACATTCATCAGAATAGTTTAATATTCCGTTTGGTAATAATATAAAGATGATTAAAATTGACAGTCATATATTAAAAAAATCAATAAAATTTTAAATATCTATATATATATATATATATATAGAGAGAGAGAGAGAGAGAGAGAGAGAGAGAGAGAGAGAGAGAGAGAGAGAGAGAGAGAGAGAGAGAGAGAGAGAGAGAGAGAGAGAGAGAGAGAGAGAGAGAGAGAGAGAGAGAGAGAAAGAGAGAGAGAGAGAGAGAGAAGAAATCAATTGACTCACAAAGTAAATTTTGCTAAAGTTACTTCGCTCAATAACTCATGACGTATGTTGAATTTTATCAATCCAACTGTTAAATTAAAAGTTATTAAATTTTACTGATAATTAATATAGAGAAAAATTGATTAGTTTTGGAATAAATTATTTTCTAACAATATAGTTGAAAAATTAATTATTTTAAATTATTTAACTAGAATCTTATTGACAATTTACTATATGATCTAGATATTTTTGTATAACTAATATCTGGTTTTAAATTTGATATGAAAATATTATGATATAATTAGATAAGATTTTAAATTAGTATTTTATTAGTAGTTGATAATTAAAAAATAAAATAAAGATAAATACACTTTATGGTTTAATATGTTAGATTTAAGATAAATAAATATATTAAGTTAAT